GAAATGTGAGGGGAGTTATTTCTATAACTACTGGTAAATAATGTAAGTTCTGTACTGCTAGGGCTATTTTTATTCTAACGGATCTGATTCAAATAATCCCATCGTGCAATAAGTAAAATTAGATTTTACACGGAAACTAAAAATTGCGTTTCATCAAAGGAGTAAAAATGGAAATTCCATTTTTGCTTGTAAAACCGAGGAATTCACCAGCAAAACCTATAAACCAATTTCACAATTAGTTATTCTTGTTGTGTCACTACCTTCACCGCTCACACGTGACTTTATATGCACCACATGATGTGACATTAAACAGCTGATTTGAGGTATATTGCGTAACTAGATTACTACAAATTATTCCTCCCCTCTGAATCATCCCTGAATCGTTGATCCTCTCTGACCAAAAAGGCCATGAGTCAAAAGAGCGAACTAGAGTTGGTTAGCTTTCATGGAAAAGGGGGGGAAATATATGATAACTCGATCGACTCGTTAGGTTTATTTATGAACGTTATTGCGCTTTAGGTTATGTGCGTTAGGTTGTGCGCTATGAGTTATTTCTATTACGGTGACGATACACATTGACATGTGCCAATATCAAGTTGGTTTCCCACATGCTATCACAGAAACGAAGTCGGCAAGATGAACTGTGAGGAATGGTAATTACCGAGACTTATGGTAATTGCTGATTTTCTATATGGGGAATTCGCGAAAAGCTTAACATATTAAATGAAATAAAATAAATGGAAAATTCTTTATTTTACCAGCCAAAGTTAGCTAGACTTTCCATTGCCTGGACTGGTAGGTTTTTAGTGAGTAAGAGTCCCATACACCAGGGTAAAATACATCTTATTAGACCCTGACGGTGCATAAACCATAAACGTCATGCTTTTATAGCAATAAATTCAGAATATCTAGCTTAATTCCAGTTGATAAGTGAGGGAAGGGAGAACAATATAAAGGTATGGAACGGTGGCTTAAAGTGTTCAATAATCAGATAACCGGAAGCGAGCGGCTGCATGAATAATACATCGCTGTTAATAACTGGCTTAATGAAGACGATGGTCCGGCAGGTTTATTGTGTATGCATTATTGAAACTAACTTGGGAGGGTGATATTTTACAAATCGTTTAACGTAAGAACATTGCGTGAGAAATTAATGAAATTTGGCACGAAAATTTGGATCACATTTATTTTACGAGTTTGCAAACTTGCATGATGATATTAGACCGGGGTTTCATGAGGTATATGATTTTACCTACGACCATTTTTATAGTAGCCATTTCAGTTTAATTCTTAGAGCTGAAAGGTTTAACATAACAGAATTGTTTTCTTTCATATCAGGATAGTTTAACTCTTAAAAACACGGGTAACGGACCAATGAGGTTCAATTATCGAGTAAGAAGAAGTAAAATTGTAATGATTCGAACTTCAACTAATCAGCTTTTCAGGACAATTGTTGAGTGGTGCAATTAGTGTTTGTACAATGTTTCGTTGCATCACTGTCAGTTTAAATGAAAGGTTATAAACGAAAACATAACCTCTCTTAGAAAAATTTTTAGTATGTAAAACACTGTCGTAGGTAAAGTAGCCTAGTTTACGCAACTCGCGTAAATAGTGTTAATGGCAACTCTGTTAAAGTTTTGAAGGCATTACATTTTTTACTCGCGTAGTTAACAATATCTTTACGCAATTGCTGTGTAAACTACTTATATATATTTATGTTACTATATTTTGTTATATATATTGTAATATTTATATTACGTAAAAAATCCCACCAGAAAAAAATCAAAGAAAAATGTTTTTCAAGTTTCTATTTTGTGTTCTCTTCCCGTTGCAAAGCACGGGTACAACAGCTAGTTATTTACAGTTTCAAAAGTTCAAATGTTAAAAGCCAAAATGTGTTATTTTATCAATAAAAAGATTTAATTCTCTTGCAATTTGATTCCGTAATCATATTAGTAGGTTCTATAATATCTTTTGTTCCATATCAGCAAATAGAGTTTTAGCAATGTGAATAAATATAAACTAATTTGGTTTATTACATGATGATTTAGAGTGTTTTTCGTTGAGTTAATGTAAATACCCGTACTACAGAACGAAATGGAGAATGTGATTGATTTCCCAAAGGTATAAAGTGAAGGCTTACAAGAAAATATTATGCTCTAAGTAATGAAGGTTCTGCGTATATTTTCACTACAGTAGCAATGTTGAGCTCATGCTGAATGCAGGCTTTTTAATGGACATCTTTCCATACATTCCAAAAATATGTTCAAGAAAAAATGTTTTAGAATAGTAATTTATTTGAAGGTTATATATTTAATCTTGCAGATTGAGAATACATGAGTTGTATCTTAATATTTTCTCCCATGCATTATTTTTTTATTATGTTTTTAAAGAATTGCGTCATGTTTTGCAGAAAACATATAAATGTCCGTCATGCCCTTACACATACTGTAATATCAAGATGACTGGGACAAAATTACAATACATATTAATTAATACTACAAAGGCACATTGTTGTAATATTTTGTTTTTACTTTCTCCCCCTATACTATATATATGGAGAAAGTATTGTTTTCGTCAAAATTTTCGAGTTTGAGTTTTGAGTGGATATATTCGTTTTGGGTCCCCCTGGACCCAGAAAAGTGGTTTTCGAAGTGATGTCTGTGTGTGTGTGTGTGTGTGTGTGTGTGTGTGTGTGTGTGTGTGTGTGTGTGTGTGTGTGTGTCTGGATGTGTACAGAGCTAGAGACCACACCTGTGGTCCGATTTCGATGAAATTTGGTATGTAGGTTCTAATCTATGGTATCTCCCGGCGTTTTTTTTCATTTTTTTGAAATTTTGATTTTTAATGGGGATTTTCCCATAAAAACCCATAAAAAACCGGAAAAATGGGATTTTCTCAAAAATGGCCCAAACGATTTTGATAATAATTTAGTATGTTGTAGCCCTTTAAATTCTAAATATAATGGTGCAAATCCCATATTTTTAAAAATTACGGTTCAAAAGTTATGGACCAAATATGTTATTTTACCATAAAAACCCCATAAAATAACGAAAAATAGGATTTTAGAAAAAACTCTGTTTTGATTTAACATAGTATGTTATTGTCCTTAGAGTTTTGATATTTTTTTTATTTTTTTTAAATTATTTTTTTAACGGGGATTTTCCCATACCCCATAAAATAACGTAAAAATATGATTTTCCCAAAAATGGCCCGAACGATTTTGATAAAAATTTAGTATGTTATAGTCCTTTATATTCTGAACAAAATGGTTTAAATCCCATTTCTGTAAAAATTACGGTTCAAAAGTTATTGTAAATTATGTCATTTTCCTATAAAACCCCCATAAAATAACAGAAAAATCGGATTTTCGCAAAAATTGCCTGAACGATTTTGATAAAAATTTAGCATTTTATAGTCCTTTAGATTCTGAACAAAATTGTACAAATCCCATTTGCGTATATTTACTCTCACCACTTACACATGATAAAGGTTGTTGACAAACATATGGGAGAAGTGTCAGAATGCTGATACCGTTTATTTAATGTGTATTCACATAAATTGACCCAATCAACTATTATTATGACCAATACTACTATTGAGCGGTATGTTTATGGGGGGGGGGGAGAAGAAAAGTAAATTTAGATCGGCCACCAATCAGCTGATCGTTTTCCCCTCGCTATTAGAGCTTGATTTATTACTATTATTAAGCTTGACAATTACTTTCTTTGATATTAGCCTTGCCTGGAAATAGCCACATCTTGTACGGCGAGTTGATCAAGTATTTTTTCCTACTGTTACCTGTCAAAGTGGGCTTTCTTGTACTGATTATAACCCGTAAAGTAGCTAATTGCGGCATTTACTTTCTTTGCCGCACTCATTTTAATTTTGTCGCACTGATTTTTTGCCGCACTCTAGTATTCCAACCAAACGACAAAAAACAATACGCTTTTATTAGGCACATAATTTGTGTACGCTTGGAAATGATTTGGTAACACTAAAAATACTACGACAACGATCTGCTGTTGCAGTGTTTCCAATTTCGTACAACGCTTGGATTCAACCTAACCGTGTTGTTTGGTAATTGATAACTAATTATTTCTATGCTTTATAAAAGCTGTAGGAAAAAATATAATGTGTAACACGTCACTAGTTGCTAAAATAACCTTTGTGTTTTATTGTGGACATTAAAAATTAATTTTGTACACTCAAGTCATTCAAATATAAATAAAACCTATTAAAAAATAAACTATACTGTTAAAATCACTTGTTATTTGACTGACTAAATATTTAGTTAGCACTGTGTTAATGTTTTTGATAATGTACAACATTTAAAAAAGTTAAACCTGCAGGAGAACAAAAAAGTCAGGAGGATAAAAAGTTAGAAGTATAAAAAAGTAACATTAGTGCCAAATGTTTTGCTTAGGATCATATTGCAAAAGTTCCTGACTTCTTCAAACTCAACTTAGTTTCTCGGCTTAACGCCTTTCAAAGTTTACTGTAATTTTTAAAATCCGTCTAATAAAATTTAGTATAAATAGCTGTTCGTGTGATAAAATAGTAAGATAAATGTATGATTTGCGACATAATATTGACACGAAAATCTCAATTTACCAAGAAAAAGCTCTGCACATTAGTTAAACAAAATCAAGACTAACATTCTTTCAAAAACATTCAACTGAGAAACTTATTTCATGAAAACAATTTTGTTATTGGCTTGGATCTCCAAAGATAGCTTCATTTTCACGACCAATTCTAAAATAATAAATTCAAAAGTGTCCTCAAGAACATAGTAGGAAAATAGTAACTAAATTATATAATTTAAAAACATTAGTAAAGTATCGTAAAGGTACCATACTTAGTTCCTAGCTAAGTATATCAATTTATCATCCTGAACTTTCAGGAAAGAATACGTTATAGAGAAGGGGATATAAAATAACAAACTTTCTAATCAAAATTGCTATATTGATTTTGAATGAATTTCGTTATCCAAAGCCTAAATACATCATTCCTTTTAAAGTCACGAAAAAAATAACACCTCAACCAAATGGACTAATAGTAGGCTTTTCATTTTGGGACTTTTCTTCATGGGACAACCAACGCCCAATTGCACTACACCATCCAGCAAGTGTAAAGAAAATACTCTCAACTACCCATACTACTCCACCAATCAAACCATTTGAATTTTCTTTCAGCTTGATATGACTTCCTGGTATGGTCCTCTCTATTTCTCTGGCTGCTCTGGAACACGCCAATCCTGTCACCACCTCTTCAGACGGAGCCAACCTTGGGTCCTCCTTGCTGTACGTCCTTCTTTTACATTGCCCGTCCTTTATCACAATCATCGAACCAGGTTCGCTTTTCTTGCATAGTACTGCGTACGACTCCTTCGGCAGAACGCTTGCAAATACGTCATGTCTGTTTTTCACCTTCAGCTGTTTCACTTCTTCTTCTGACGTCATGGGGCATTGTAACTCGTCGTAGACACCGTTTCCCTCCACAAATAGTCCCAATATGAAGGGAGGCTTTTCTATGTTCCCGCCAAGTAGGATGTTGAAGTCGAATACTTCACCGGGGTGTCTTCCGAACTGTTGGACTGTAACTGATAGAAAATCGCTTTTACGACGTTGTAATTACTAAACACTACTGGGGATTTGGTGCATTAAGTATAGTTTGGGGATGGTCATATGGTCTCTTGTAGCTAGTGCAGCCTTGAATAAGGAGGATACTTTACTTTGCTTTGAAAACAGTTAAACTTTTCAAAAGTTTTTGGTAAGCATTACATATTTTTATTTTTTTAAGTTCGTTGATTACGAGATTTTCATGAAGACTATGAAAATTATTTTTATCAAGGTTGACTTCTTGGGGAGCGAGCTGGTCTAGCGGTTAGAGTGCGGCACTCCGGTTCCTGGGGTCCCGGGTTCAAATCCTACCAAATCACCAATGAATTTTTCTAAGTGATAATGCCGTAACCCCTAGGTCTAGCCTGAAGTAATGTGAAAAACAATTCCGGGCTCGTGCCTAGCGTCCTAGGACAAAAAAGGTTGATTTCTTATCGAAGTTTTCAATAACAAATGCTCAGGAATGAAATAAATTTAAAAGAATTTAAAATATATCTTGTTATCAAAGGTGGCTTTTACAAAGGGTTTATTTTATTCAGGTTCCACTTTTTTGACTAATGTTATCTAACGTTAGTCTTAACGTAGTTGTAAATTAAACGATTTTCAAGAAAAACACTCAATATTTATAACCAAAGTTTTTGAGCCTTGCATTGTTATGGGACTCTCCTTCAAACCGATCGTTGTAGGGAAACATAGGGTGTGTTTTCTTTTCATCTTGATTTTGCACATCCACACAAGTTCTGGGACCCTGAATGGAAGATGGAAGGTTTCTGGTAAAGCAACATGTGAGCCGGTACAATTAAACTGTTAAATTTTTACTGAATTACTTTTGTACCTGGGACCGAACCTAAGATCGCTGCTCTTAGGGGTTCGTTAAAGAGGGAGTTTATACTCAACTTGGATGGTTAAACTCAAAGAAATAAATACCTATAAAATTGAATTGTAAGTTAACGGAACAAAATGAGTGCAATATAAATGAGTTGACAGAAGAAAATAGTATTAATAGTTGTAATGAAGTGATTCAAAATCAAGAGGTATATTGATGGAATATGATGGAGAAAATGTTGTTTTAATTTAAAAAAATGTAACGTGGAACTTTCCTATGAAAGGTTGCCTAGTAGTTAAAACAGTCGCATTTCCAAAGAGAATGCCTAATGGGTAACGCTTGCACTTCCTAAAGCCAATCATTTAATTGGCTGTATTATTTAATTTTGTGTTATGTTTAATGAATCTAAAATAATTTTAAAACATTCATCCCAACTTATGATTCCGAGCATAAGTGTGTTTGAACATACACATAGTACACTAACTTAATTAAGGGTTTGGTCAGAATTTGTTTTAAATCACTGATATCTTAGATTATCTTTTCTAACTTAACAGTTATTGATAATTTGTAAGATCAGATTCTGTTTCATATTTAGTATATTTTAACCCGTTTATAAATGAACTGAAATAAATGGCTGAAACAAAAATATAAAATAACTTGTAACTTACGTTGTGTATCACTATCCGACAGCCTTTCTGGATATCCCTTTTCTGCATTTACCAAAGTCAAAACGACCTGTGAATGAAACAAAAGAGTCAGAAATATCTATACCTATCAAACTACGAATGGTATGCACTCAAGTTCATGGTCATTGCTTCAGTATACAAACTAAATAAAAGTATAGGGCATAAAGTGCTTCAATATGCAGATCAGGGCGTGTGGACTTGCCAAAAGTATTAGTATAAAAAATATTCTTAAGTGCTCTGCCCCGCAGGCCTATTTCCACTATTTCCAGATGGCCTTACACGCTTTAAAATTTTACATCATAAAATTAATTGAATACACAAAAGCTGGTCTATCCAGTAAAAACTTGTTTGTTTATCTCCCAATTTATCAATCAAGGATATTTGATCGTGCATTAATAACATTGTGGAAGTAAAGTTAATCTTTTCTAGATGAAACCATAGAGTATTAAACTCCCATCAGTGCCATTTTTGTTAATAACCGTACTTGGTTGCTTGGATAATTTGAGTCCATTATCTGAGTTTATAAAAAGAATTTTACTACAAGTGAAATAAGTGCCTTGTTTTAAGGTAAATATATGATACATCTATTGTCAGATATAAAGAGCAGGATTGTTATCTTTCGAGAACCCCCCCCCACCCATCGTTTCGAAGCAAGGGCATAGAAGCACAGACAATGGAATAAACCTTATTCTATGTTAATAAAAAAGCTTATTATATGTATGGGAAATTCGCTAAAACACAACAATTTTGAAACAGGGTCATATTTTTTAATGATTATTTTTCCTTAAATACATGATGACGTATTAAAACTGTATACCAAGTTTCATAAAGATATCATAAATAGTTTTCGAGAAATATCTCATTAAAAGCGCGTTCAGCGCCTATAGCGCAGATCCAGCTGACCGTCTGCATTACAGTATTATATATTCTGTGATAGAAGCTAGTATTTTTGTACATCCGTACGATTTTATCCTATTAGGTATACTACTCCCATAGTCATGCCACAAAATGACCGTCCTTAACTCGTAATATCGCGATGGTATCTGTAATATTATAGGTTTATGGTATTTCAAAAAATCTGGTAAATAGAGCTTTAACCTTAAAATAGGCTAAACACTGAATACACCCTTAATTTAATATCAAACTAAATTCGTCTTATGTATGATGCATTTCTGCATTTCTTGCATTCTTTAAAAGTACGCTATACTAGTATAAATGGGAATTGCATTTAAAATAGTAAATACTTTCAAGCAAAGACTAAAATACTTCTATGTGTAAAGGCAATGCAATAACAGTGCAGTCGAAATTCCATTTATTAAAATAGAAAGTGAAAATTTTCAAGTACTTACGATGACAAAGATGGCTAAAATCTTTGTCGTCATTGATGATACACCTTCTGATTCAGTGGACAGCTTATAACTTAAGGGAAACCCGAACTATTGACCATAAATAAAACAAACTGGTGGATTTGTAATATCACACATATAACTTTATCACACAACTACAGAGGTGGATAACGCTACAAGCACACTAAATGTTTGTTGACATCACAGAAACATATGTCTGTGGCATCTGTAAAATTATAGCTAAACAGAATTAAGCTCTATCAGTTGTTGATATGGTAAAACTATTTCAATTTCACTAAACTTATGAGATAAAAAAAAACAAGAATATTGTAAATATCTAACTTGATATCATTTCAGTAATTCAATATCAAATTAAATAGCTATAACAACTGTCTACGTATTTTACGTTTATTTATAAATTGGTTGTTTCTACTGTAAAATCTGATTTGAAAGAAAATGTTTTCAACCGTTTACAGGTGGCGTGTAAATAGATAAAACACTCCTTATACAAGTATCCTTTATTGTAACCTTGTATTAATTATTTTCAGTGTATCCCGTCTGTAAAAACGATAAATCTGTACAGAAATAATTCATTAACGGTGCACTGCATTAGTGTCAATATACGCAACTAAGAACACATTTCTACCACACGTTTTTTAGTAAAATTGTGTGTAGTGTTTGAAAAAATATAGATTTTTTTCAATAAATCATTTAAAATAAAATATAATTACTATATTTTTTATTAGGGAGACAAAACTTAAATCTTAAAATATAAAAAAAAACATACGACATTCTCTTCTGTTACTAATAGCATTAATTGCGAGTAAGTGCGGATAAGTGTGAGGACGAATCTACGTACATGTTTTGTTTTTTTTAAGTTAACAGTTATCACAGAAAGAAGACTAAAATTTTGTTTTGTCACTGCCTAGATCCTTTTACACTTTATACAAGTCAACCAGACCGACTTAAGATGAAAAGAAAAACCAATTAATTGTTATTGCTGAGATATACTTTGCTTCTTAGCAACGCATAATTATATGTTTTTTTACATGTGACGCAACAAATGAATATCTTCGTCCTCTAATCATCCCACAATATATCATTTTCATCAATATCATGTTGAAAAAACTACAATTTATTTTATTCTGTTTATCTTCTGAAAACAAGCTACAAATTACATACTTCGGAATATATAACTGTTACAAAACAATTAGACTCTAAAAAATAAATATTCCCTATGAACCGTGATTTTTTTATTATTATTTATAAAATTCCTACACAAAAAAGGAGTAATGACCAAAAATGTCAGTGGGTCACAGCATTGGATGATAACTACAAGACTACGCTGAGTCAATATTCAATGGGACGACGGTTCCTAATAATTTAGGGTTGCTCTGAATATCGACTTTACGTCCATTATTCACTCCACAACAATACAGCCAAAGGTCGCTACGAAATGTCACCAGACAATCTATCACAATACGAAATGTAATTATAATTTTACAGATTTATTTTTTTTACATTTATTTATATACAAAAATGTGTATACACTATTACTAATATTTTTGGCAATATGCTTGCTAAGTAGTTCCTATTTTAATGATAATATTTAATTCAGACCGTGAGCATTTAATTTTACCTTGATTCTCTCAACTATAAAATTCCTCTATATAATTTCTATTGATATTTTTAGTCCAATGTCATATTATTAAATTGTTACAAAATAATCAGATTACTTAGACTCGGATTTTATGTTAATTTTCTAATTTATTAATCCCTGAATCTAGTTGATTCGCAAATTAGTACGAAGTATTAGCCCATATGCAGTTTATGGTTGGGTATCAATTGATGGTACTATCCAAAATAAAGATAAACAAAAGGTTAATCTCTTCCTTAAAAAACTTATCAGGTCAATGACCGTAACACAAGAAAAGTGTAGCAAGTATTTAACAGAAGTGCGATATCAGTATCTTACAGCTGGACTTTTGCCAGACAATCTTCATTAAAAGAGGGTAGACTTGATTGGTGACTTGGGGCGTAGACAGTAAGTCGATCAATGATCTGCCATTAGTGGGGGAAAACCTGACTGAGATGCGAAAATAGCATCGATTACTTTGTACTATAAAGTAATTACAGAACCAACACTAAATGATCGTCTTACCCACGTTTGGTAAGCCGTTCACTGCAATACCTGGTGAAAATTCCACGTTGCCTAATGGATAAATATTTATGAATATTTTATTTTTTGAGTGTAAAAGACTGGGATAAACCTAAGCTACAAAATGTTACGTGTAAGTAACTATTTCACTTAGGTAGTAATAATATTTGCAATGCGTAAAACATAATTTTAAAAGCAATGCCACATTCATTTCGTTATACAATTTTGAACACCGCTGTAAATTGTCGGTAAAGAGAGCATTTGGTCACATTTTCCAGTCAACCGAGTCTGTCCAATGAATGGCCACCGTGCACTTCGGGTAATGGTCTGGAAACGGTTGAAAAGATGTGGTCGACCAAATGTATTGACAACATAAATGAGCTATTTCACAAAATGTAAACATATGTTTGCGTAACTGAATTATAAAAATAAAAAATACATAAAATTCATTATAAACTTCTAATACCATTTCTATACGATAATATAACTTAACGTTCGAGAATATATTAACTTTTCTTACTCAGCAATACTACTCAGTATTTCTTTTGTAAGCTATTCGTGTGAAATGCACATAAAAGAAAATATTACAAATATCATAATGATAAATTACAAACCTAAAGTGCTATTTTTAACATTTAATAAAAAAAGTTTGAGCTTAACCTATTTATTACAGTGTCAAGATTGTTTTACCCTTCTACAATATTAATATTGGTAATTGAAAATAATTTTAGTGGTAAAGGAGTTTCATTTTGTCTTAAAACATATAAAAGCAAACATATTGTGCTTATAACATAGCTTAAAGAGGATAAGTAAGAAAATATTCTCTTTGTCGCTCCTCTCAAACAAAGGTACGATTATTCGTAGTTACAACAAAGATTACCTCAACAAAGCTTTTTACACACCTGCTATAACTATTTGTTTTCCCTTTTAACTCGTGTTAGGTAAAACATTGCATGTTTAATAAGATTCTTGTAACATTTTTTCGTTGTTGAACTTATTTATAGTAGCTGTTACCCACGGGCTTCAACCCGTTTGACTTCATAAGTATTAATAAAACTATTGATTGGTTAAGTTAAGCTTAAATAAACAAAACATATTGCATTATTATACAAATAATCACTACTGATTTTAATAAGGTTATTGAAAGAATGACTAAAAGATAAGTACAGCTGAGGTATTTAGCATTAGGTATATAGAAATTTTTTTAAAAAAAGGAATTACGACCTTAATGGGCTATTTACGTAATAATGGATATCTTGCGCAATGGTTCACGTCATATTTGCTTACCAAGACAGTTTAAATAATCGAAATAAATAAATATAGTTTTGAGGCTACACAAAAAGTTATAAAATTTGGGTAATACAGGACAATAATGCTGCTAATAACAATAATTTTTTTTTCTACCCAAAGTTTAGAGATTTTATCATTGGAACAATCATTGTTAGACCTTTATAAGTTGAACCTCCTTTGACAAGGGATTTGCTCAAAGAGAATCATGTCAAAGATTTAAGTGATTCACAAGTTTCCGGAAGATACAACAAAGATAAAGCGATTAAATTCACAAAGCATTGTTTTAGTTCTTCTTACCAGATACATTTGCAAGCCGCACTCATCTGTAAGTTAATTGTTCTAAAAACTTTGCGGCAAAAAACAGAAACCTTTCTCCAAATGTATCTTCTTTATCTGGAATTTTTATCCTTTTTGTATTTTTTTTCTGGTAGGCTAGACACTCATCTTGTTGCATGAATCTCAAATTAACTAATTATGAATCAGGTGTATGAGTGGAATCAATGAAAATAAATACTACATTGAGAAACTGTTAAAAGCATTATGAAAGTGCAATAAACAAACTAGCATACCTGGCTGGTGTAGAAATTGAAGCTTATAGCCTAATTCAGAGTACCCAAAACAGAATACTTCAGTATAATATTTGGATTTATGATATTAAGCCACAAAAAAATCGTGTATTATTTTTAAGATTTCTAGTCAAAAAGAGCGGCAGAGTTGAAATGGATTAAAACGCTTCAACTTATTACAAGCGTTTTTGCTTTGACAATTTTATAGTTCCCTTCCATAATATAAATTACTGTTAATACCAAAATATCTTTTAAAATAGTCAGTAAATTAGTCACATAGATTACGTTAGTTTTGCTAAACTGTAATTTGAAAGTTATACTTAGAGATCACTTGTACGTCAAAACAATGTTAACCCATGTATTTCGCCACATCACATAAGCAATTTTTACATCGATAAAAACTTATGAAATTAATAATATTTCAGTTCAAGTACGTTAAAAGTACAAAGAGGATGTTTTACAGATATAAAAACAACAATTTGTTCTGGAATATATTTACTAAGAAAATACGTTGGGTTTAGTTCAAAAAATAAAAAATAAACTAACAACAAAGAAACACAAAAAAAACAATAATAAATATTTCCCTTTTTTGCTCTCTAATTTAAAATATATATTTTAGATACCATAAACTAAGTTTCCATAAATTTTACATATCGACTAAACTCAAATTGTACAATGGAATGATCTACCTCTGTAGCAATGCACTTACAGGTATGAATTAGTTTGGAGGGAATTTTGTTTATTGTCATTTCATGTAAACTGTTTCGACTTTCAGATTTTACTACATGGGCTAACTTTGGTTCAAAGAGAAACTAAAGGGAATTGGCAAACCTATAAATTGGATTGAAAAATTGCGTCGAGCCATTCAATCGTGGTATTCTATTAACAAAGAACTATTTCTAAGCATTTAGAGCTAAAATATAAAATTATTTAACTGTGCTAACATATTAAACAATATTTTTTGGGGGATTTACAATCGTCAAAAACGAAAGTATGGTGTAGTAACAATACATTTTTTTTCAGTACAATATCTTATCAAATTATAATTTACTGAACAAAATACATGTATTAACCTCTCTTGTACCTAAAAAATGCAGCATTGGCTTTTGTTCCAATCATTATAATCTTACGGAGTAATAAACTACA